CCGGGTCCCTGTGGTGGCTCCGCTGGGTGCTGTAATGTCACCCGGGGGAGACCAGCCCCCGAGCGGCCTCAGCAGCTGGCTCCTGGGTGGCCCTGCCCTGTCCCTCGGGCCACCTGGCCCGGCCTTCACCACAGGGTCCTCTCCCTCGTCCCCACCTTCGCGGGGGCGGGGGGCTGCATTCCAGTCCGGGAGTCCATAACCCTCGCCCCAGAGCCCCCCCCCTGGGGCACCGGACCTTCACCCTCTTCTGGGGGGGCGGACCCTGCGGGCAGCGAGTCCTTCCGCGAGGGACGTGCTTACCCGCTACCGCGCTCTGTGCCCCCAGGACCCCCAGCCGGTTCCCTGGCTGTCAGCGCCTTGGCTGTGTCTGTGGTTGCCATTGTCATCGCCATCACCATCGCCATCGCCGTCGCCTGGTGGGGAAGACGAGGTAAGCGGAGGAGAGCGCTCCGGACGGGAGAGCAGCAGCCCGAGGCCCGGCAGGCTCTTGACCGGCGTTTTCCATTTAAAATACAGCTGCGCTCACTTCCTTATTCATTTTTAATATATTTTTGGATCTCAGAGAGGAAGGGAGAGGGAGACATCAATGATGAGAGAGAATCATGGATCGGCTGCCTCTTGTACGCCCCACACTGGGGATCGAGCACACATCCTGGGCTCGATGTGCTCTTGACCGGAGTTGAACCTGGGACCCTTCAGTCCACAAGCTGATGCTCTATCCATTGAACCACACCAGCCAGGCCGCCAGGCGCTTTCTGGAACCCCATCCTCTCGGGCAGCTCTGGGAGGTCTCCCCACTTCACAGGTCAAAGTTCAGGCAGCCCAGAGCCCAGGAGGCTGCAAACTCGCTCAGACCTCAGACCCCAGCCAGGCTCCCCTGGCCGTAGCCTTGTCCATCCTGTGGGCCCCACCGCCTCTGGGAGCCGGAGAGCAAGCGCAGGGCCAACCTCCTCAAACCCATCCCCCCGCCCCCAGGGCTGTCGACTCCTCCGGGTCCTGGGTCCCTTCTCCAGGGTCATGGGCTCCAGGACGAATGAGCTGCAGGCAGGTCAGGAGCCACGCCGGGTCCTGGCCACATGCACCTTCCGGAAATGTGAGTCACGTCTTCCTTCTGGTTTCCTCTTTTCAGCCACCAAGAGGCTGATTGTGAACTCGGACATGAGGTCCCGGGACAGGACGGGAAGAACCTTATGACGTCAGTCGGGCTGGAAGAAAATGGCTTCGAGATGCGAGACCACGGAAGCTCCGGATCCCGCGGCCCCGCGTGGTAGTGAGATGGTGAGCAGCCGGAAGGCCCCGCTGGGGAGGGAGCGAGCCGTTCCCGCTCCTGGCGGCCTCCACACCACGGACTATCCCAGACCTATTGGTCAGAGGAAACCTCTCAGGTCGGCCCTGGCCAGTGTCGCTCAGTGGACAGAGCATCAGCCTGCGGACTG